CCACTTGATATTTCGGTGGTTTTTTTTGTTAGAATTGGAGGCCTTAAGGGTTGCTTAGGAGAGACCTTAGCACGAGAGAAAAGGTAAGACCTTCTTCCTGGGGGCAGCTCCCTTTATCTCCTATGTATCTCCGATTCCCTGCCTACAAACTTGTGACTGTGCAAAGAAAGTTTGCTCCGTGAAACATGCTTCATTTTCCATGTATCCACTAACCAGTGACATCTCTAGATAGGTCCAAAAAAACCTTGTCCTCACAAAATATAACCATTTTCTCATAAAACTCTTTCATAAAATATATTTTTGGCTTCAGTGATGAACAAGTTGAAAGAATGCTGTGACTCTTAGGTTGGGCTAAAAGACTCCTAAAATCAGTAGCCTCAATACTGTAATTGTATGCTTGTATAGACAGATTTCAGTACGAAGACAACATTGTATATTTTATAAATATTTGTGGACCATAAATGTTTTTTAAATGATTGAATACAATTTAAATGAATGAATATGTCCCTCTTGCATCCAGGAGTATTCATCCCTTACATTCAGGAGGGTCCCGTCCCCCTTACATCTAGGAGTGCCCATCAGAGTCCCTCCATACACCCAGGAGTGCCCAGATGAGTCCTCCTTATATCAAGGAGTGCCCAGTAGGGACCAGAAGATCATGGCTGGCTGGCAGTGGGTACACCGGAGCGGCACATTTGCTATGGGTCAGATATAATCTTGTAGCATTGCCAGATGTGGCCCACAGGCCCCGGTTTGGAGACCTCTGGTAAAGACTGCATAAAATGCATGGATCCTTTGGGGCAAACATCTGTGAATCCTAAGGGGTTATTTTTTTTTATAAGAAAATACAAGGCCAGCAAGCAAGGAAGGGATTTGACATATTGAAGGGCATAATTACAGCCATAACAGCCCATGTGGTGGCTATAAGGCTCCATGCACACGGGACGTTTTGATAACGCTGGTAACATTAGCTGTGTAAAGTCACATTAAAAACCTTTTCAGCTTTCTTTTAGCGTTTTGCATTAGCGTTTAGCGCCGTTTTGCCACGTTTAGTGACGTTTTCCTGTTTTTCAGTGTTTTTTTTTTTTACCATAAAAAATTTTTTTTTTTTTGGGGGGGGGGTCAAAAAAAGTCCAATAACGCCACTTTGCGATGTGTTGTACCGCGTTTTGCTGCATCTTTCAGCATTAGAGCGTTTTCACAGCTAAAAAACTCCACTAGAAACCCACTAGTTCTGGGTTTTTTTTCCAGCCAAAAAACATTGATTACTCTCTGTGTGTACATGGACACATAGGATAACATGCAGGGGGTTTACTGTAGAAAAAACCACCAAAAGCCAAAAGAAGCCGCTGTAAAAAACGTCCAGTATGCATGAGGACTTACAAGACAGAAACAATGAAAATGTTTAGTTAGACACTAAGCCCTCATGCACACTGGGAGTTTTTACAGCTGCTTTTTTTAGCTTTTAGTGTTTTATTCTACAGCCAATAAACTCCCCAGCATGTTATCCCTTTTTTTTATTATTTATTTATGCTAATTATCTGTTTTTCCGTTAGTTAAAGTGTTTGTAAATCCTTATATATACCCAATGAAGTGACTGGCCTCAGGTGATACACGGAGATGAAACAAATGCTCCTACATAAGTTGTACTTGTTTATCTGCTGTCTTCTCTTTTCTACATGTGTTCAAGGAATCCAGAATTTATAAAACTTGTCTGAGAGTTCAGAAAAAAGGGGGCAGAGATCTGAGGTTACACTCTACAGAGCTTGGTGAGGAGAGCTCTGAGAGCTGAGGCTGTCCGCACGGCTCACAGGAACAGAGCTGAGGCTGTCAATCTGCTGGAGCTCCCTCCCCTGTCACCATTTTTGTTTTGGTGTCAGGAAAACCTGTCAGAAGTGATTCATGCTGAGAGCAGAGGAAGGAAGTAACAGACAGAAATGACACTTAGTGCTCTGGATTGAGTACACACCATAGAGGGATATGTTTTGTTCATATTTCATGTCTGTGGTTTACATCCACTTCAACCACTTGCCTACTGGGCACTTTTACCCCCTACTTGCCCAGTCCTATTTCAGGCTTTCAGCGCTGTCATGCAACACTGTACCCATATAACATTTTTAATATTTTTTTCACACAAATAGAGCTTTATTTTGGTGGTATTTAATCACCAATTGGTTTTAATTTTTTTCTAAACAAATGAAAAAAAGTTTTTCTTAGTTTCTGTTACAAAAGTTTGCAAACAGGTACTTTTTCTCATACACTGATGTGCGGTGATGAGGCTGCACTGATGGGCACTGATTGGCTGCACTGATGAGGCTGCACTGATGGGCACTGATTGGCTGCACTGATGGGCACTGAAGGCCACTGATAGGTGGCACTGATAGGCGGTACTGATGAGCACTGATGGGATAGGTGGCAGTGATGGGCACTGCCTGGCATCACTGATGGGCACTGGTTGGCAACATTGATGGACACTGATCGGCATTGATAGGCAGCACTGATGGGCAATGTTGGGGCTGCACTGATAATCAGGACACAGTGCTTTGATTATCAGTGTAGATGCCCCCTTTCGCCCTTGCTGGTTACTGGCTTTCCTGTCCTCATGCTGTCACAGGAAAAGCCGATAATCGGCAAGTGTGCTTACATCAAGTTCAGCTGTGATTGGATACAGCTGATCATGTAGTAAAGGGCCGCTGTGATTGGCCCTTTACCCCTCTCTGTGATCAGCTGTTTCCAAAGGACAAAGTGTGCCAGAGGCGCACAGAAACAGGGACACGTGGGGGGTGTGGTTCTGTAAGGACATCAATAGACGCCCTCCTAGAACTGAACAACCGTACTGTAGCTGTCATTCAGCTATAGCGTGGTCGGCAAGTGGTTAAACTAGATGGCATTTTTGTCTTTTTTTCAACCTCATTAACTATATACCATTTTATTGGGAGCTATTGGCAATTACAGTAGCTGTGCAGACTACAGTCATTAGTAAAATGTGTTTTCTCATGGCTGTTGGTAATTGTATTAACAAAAATGTGTAAGATTTTGTTCACTAAAATGTGTCAGTTCACTCCTTCTCTAGCTCACTGTTTGGTAATTGTTTTCCAGCCATATTAATCGCTTCCCGACTGCCCTATAGCAGAAATACTGGGCAGTGCTGCGCAAAATCACGTATATATACCGCCATTGGCAGCTACAGATGTTGATCACCAGGTCCCGACCGGAGATTCCCCACCAGGACCCAGAGATTGCCTAGTATCACTGACGGGAGAGACCTGTATGTAAACAACACAGGTCTCTCTCCTGCCAGCAAGGACATGCTGCTGTGTATTTCTCTGCAGCATGTTTCCTTAGTAAAACACACACAACACATACAGTAAAACAGCACACAGTTAACCCTTTGATTGCCCCAGATGTTAAGCCTTGGGATGTCAGTGACACCAAGTCAGTTCCCCCCCAGTGTCAGAATGCCCGCCGCAGTCCCACTATAAGTCGCTGATCGCTGCCAATACTAGTATATAAAAAAACAAAACAAAAGCAAAGACATAGCAGAATACATTTTGGCCTAAATTTATGACGAAATTTGATTTTTCATATTTTTTACTGGACATGTTTAATAGCAAAAAGTCCAAAATATTGTTTTTTTCTCAAAATTGTCCGTCTTTTTTTGCTTATAGCGCAAAAAATAAAAAATGCACAGACGATCAAATACCACCAAAAGAAAGCTCTATTTGTGGGAAAAAAGGATGCAAATTTGATTTGGGTGCAACATTGTATGACCGCGCAATTGTCAGTTAAAGTAACGCAGTGCCGTAACGTAAATAATGTCCTGGTCAGGAAGGGGGGGGACATCCTCTGGAGGGCAAGTGGTTAATACCTGCCTTACTATGAATTGGTTGCTATTGAAACGTTCCGTAAGTTCCAGCAATGATCAGTGTGTGGTATGCATTTTGCTGGTATCAGACAAAGGATTCAGGAAGGGAAGAGCCGCTGTTTTAACTTCATTAACTAGAAAGGTTTCATTTCTGGAAATCCAAGAACAAACAATTTTATCAATGTCGTTATCAATGGTTTTCTCGAGCAGAACATTTTTCCATAGTTAGTAGAATTGATTAGGAACTTCTGGGATCCTGACAGGAAAGGAAAAAACATAATGCTTTTGGCTCAAGCGGCCTCCCTCTTTACCATTCAGTGGGTGAATGTATTTTTTCTTCTGTTACTCCTGCCATTTATCATCTGATTTCCAGCCTTTTAAATCAGCGTCTGCTGTACATGCAGCTTATTATGCACTCTGAAAGTTTATCGAACAATGCTCCCTTATCAATAAAACATGGAGATGACTGAGTTGTTTTCTCCATGGCTTGGCGGGGTTATGATTAAATCTGCCTACCCCAGAATTTTTTCTGGACTGCACAGGGTCAAGCAAAAAATATCTCACATCAGAGAGAGGACTACAATGAGCAGATCACTGGCCTTACTGGCCTTTTTAATGGCCCTCTTTATTATTTTAACCACTTGTCTACCGGGCACTTTTATCCTCTTCCTGCCCAGGCCAATTTTCAGCTTTCAGTGCTGTTGCACTTTTAATGACAGTTGCGCGGTCATGCAACATTGTACCCAAACTACATTTTTACCTTTTTTTTAGACAGATAGAGCTTTCTATTGGTGGTATTTAATCAGCACTGAGATTTGTTTTTTGCTAAACAAACTAAAAAAGACTGAAAATTTTGGGGAAAAAAAAGTTTTTTCTTAGTTTCTGTTATAATATTATGTAAATAAGTAATTTCTCTCCTTCAATGATGTGCGCTAATGGGGCTGCAGTGATGGGCACTGATAGGCTGCACTGATGGGCACTGATAGGTGGCACTGATGAGGAGGCACTGATGGGCATTAACAGGCATCACTGGTGGGCATTGACAGGCATCACTGATGGGCACTAAAAGGCAGCACTCATATATGTCACTGATAGGCAGCACTGATGGGCACTCATGGGCGGCACTGGTAAGTGGCACTGAATGGCACTGATAGGCAGCACTGATTGGAATTGTTAGGCGGCACTGATTAGAACTATTAGGCAGCACTGACGGGCACTGATAGGCAGCACTGATAGGCGGCACTGACTGGCACTGATTGGTGGCACTGATGATCACTGATATGTGGCATTGATGTGCACTGGTAGACACTGATATGTGGCATTGATGTGCACTGGTAGACACTGATATGTGGCATTGATGTGCACTGGTATGTGGCATTGATGATCAGTGCAGATGTCCCCTCTGAGGAATGCCGCTTACCGGCTCTCCTCCTCACGTGCTGTCAGCGGGAGGAGAGGACTGCCGATAACTGGTATTTCTTATTTACATGCAATCAGCTGTAATTGACCACAGCTGATCACATGATAGAGCCAACGTCATTAGCTCTTTATTGTGATCGGTGGTCCGCTGTGTCCTGGGGGGGGGCGCGCATTCGCAGTTAGAGAGGGAGGGCATCATATGACGTCCTCCCAGAACGAGAAAACTGCCGCCCTCCTGTTTTTGTAGCTGCTGACTGAAGAACTGCTTTAAACTGAGTACACATGTGAGGTTTGTTTGTTCAACCAGCGTGCTGAACAAAAAAAGAAACTACCAGATTCCTACATCCAGTTCCAGACAAGCGATGTGGATTCAGGAATCTCCCCCACTGTGCTATTGTATTTTGACAGCGGGGTCTCCTGTGCTGTCAGAATACACTGAGCAGCTCTGCATCCAATTGGCTGATGCTCAAACAAGGTTTTCCGACAGGACCATTCAACATGAGCTAATCTAATGATCCGCTTCTGTTGAACAGAGATGGCTACAAATAGATTGAAATTCTGCCGATCCCTGGTGACCCAGCCAAATTTGGATCTGTGTATACCCAGCTGTACTCTAATAATCACCTATTTCTTGTAACACCTGCATCATCTGACAAGAAAAACAGGTCTGAGTTGCTCCAGGTATTATCAGCGCCTCTTAGAAGCTCACATAGAATATCTATTTTGGGCCATTGGGACTGCCCCATATATTTTTTTTCATATAATCTGATGTAGCACCCTCCTAGTTAGCTAGGGGGAGCTCTAGTTCAATTGTTATTAGGAGGGCTGAGTACAAGCCTGGGTGTGATAAACTAGCAGGGTCAAATTTGGGTCAGAGCTGAGAGGCTCTGCAGACCAGCCCTCTGGAATTTCCCCCAATTCTAGGACTTTGGAGGAAGGTCTAGAAGCAGTGGGTGGATTTGAGGAGTGGTTTGTCTGTACTCTTAGAAGACTCTGGTCAATCCCCAACAGGAGACTTGGCAAGGGGTCAGGACAACCTTTAAAAATAACAGCTTGCTCTGCTGCAGAAGAGTTCAGGTGGATAGATAGGATAGATATGAGGCTGAAGACAGAAGCCTTGGAGGGGGCCCATATGGAAGAGGGGCTCACCTACAGGCACAGGATCTTGGAAGGAGGAAAACTCGAGACTTCACCCCCCTGAGTGAGCACAACCTGTAAGGTCGGGAAGGAGCGGCCTAGATACTATTATGGTTTCTGAATGTAAAACTTTTTGGGGCCTAACCCTCAACATGGGCATTACAAAAATATCATATCAGTCATATCAGTCCACAGACCCGATTCATCATATGCCCATGTTCTCTGCTGTTACATATATGCCCAACATGGACCAGCAATGTACTGGTATGTTGCTGGACTTTGAGTGGTTATACTGGTATAATTTTTTTTAAACTGGTGGTTGGCTTTTATGTAAAAACAATCCTAGTGGCCAATTAGCTGCTGAATCATTTTTACAAGCAGTGGGAAAGGACATCCCCCCCTCCTGCTGCGTTCCACAGTTTTCTTGGGCTCTCCTGTCCCACTGGGGAACCCAAAAATGCAGCCGGCAGTTCCGCTGGCTAACCATAGAGTTGATCAGAGACCAGAATGGCTCCAATCATCTCTATGGTCTAAGAGACCGGAAGCTATGAGCATTTCATCATTGCCTTTCCTTTAACAGTGCCATTTTTACATTGGAAAAGTGTCTGATCACACCCATCTTGGTGAGATCAGATGCTTTAAGGGCAGAGGAGATATCTAGAGTCTAATAGACCCCATATTTCTCAGAAAAGAATACCTGTCACTGCCTATTGCTATCACAGGGGATATTTACATTCCCTGTGATAACAATAAAAGTGATCGAAAAAAAAGAAGAAGAAAGGGTCAGTGTAAAAAAAAAAAAAACACCCCCCTGCCCCTCCCCCTTTCCGTGCTCGTGCGCAAAGGTGAACGCAAGCGTTGGTCCCATGTCGGTATGTAAACAGAGATTGCACTATGCATGTGAGGTATCATCGCAAACGTCACCTCCTATGTAAATATAAATTGGTGACCTGTAAAGGCTTTTAAAGCTTCACCTATTGATGTTAAAAATGTATGTATTTTGTCATCATTGCACAGGCATGCACAATTATAAAGCATGTCATGTTTGCTATCTATTTACTCAGTGTAACATCATCTTTTATATTTTATCAAACAATTGGGCAATATATTGTGTTTTTATGGATTAATATTCTAAAAAGTGTATTTTTCCCAAAAGATTTGCATTTGAAAAATCACAAATGCTGTGTGACGTAAAACATGGCAACACCCACCGTTTTATTCTCTAGGGCCTCTGCTTTAAAAAAAATATATAATGTTTGGGGGTTCAATTTTCTAGCAAAAAAAAAAAAAAGTTTTTTCATGTGAACATAAAGTGTCAGAAAAGGCTTGGTCTTCAAGAGTGGGTGATGTGTGGCATAAGCTTCTAATGTTGGCCCTGAAATGCCAGGATAGTAGAAGCAACGCCTCCAAATTACCCATTTTTGGAAAGTAAACACTCCAAGGTATTTGCTAAGAAGCATGGTGAGTGTTTTGCAGATCTCATTTGTTGCCACATGTTTTTGGAAAACAAAGAAAGAAAACAAAAATGTATTTCTTCTTTTTCAAAATCCTGTGACAAAAATGATATCTGTAAAATACTCGCCATGCCTCTTATCAAAATCCTTGGGGTGTCTACTTTCCAAAAAGGGGTCATTTTGGGGAGGGGCTTTTGTATTATCCTAGCATTTTAGGGCCTCCAAAACTGTGATAGGTAGTGGGGAAGTTTATGAGGAAATACAGTATGCCCTTTGAAAGCTTGGAGGTGGTCATTGGATTTTGGAGGCCTGTATGTAGCTAGGCTGTCAAAAAGTCTCTTATGTGTGGTATCCCCATACTCGGGAGAAGTAGAATAATATGTTTTGGGGTTTTACTCTACATATACCCATGGCATGTGTGAGCAATATCATTTAAGTGACAACTTTGTGTAAAAAAAATAAATAAAACATAAAAAAATAAATTTGTCATTTTTGGAAATTTTATGCAAAAAATAAAATGTTAAATGGACTCAACATGCCTCTCTGCAAAATTTTTACAACCAAAAGTGAAAAATATAATTTTTTTCCCCAATATTTTCGCTTTTTTTGTTTATAGCGCAAAACGTAAAAACCGCAGAGGTGACCAAATACCACCCAAAGAAAGCTCTATTTGTGTGAAAAAAAGGACATAAATTTTGTTTGGGTACAGCATTTCACGACTGCGCAATTACCAGTTTAAATAGCGCAGTGCCTAACAGCAAAAAATGGTCTGGTCATGAAGAGGAGGTAAATCTTCTGGAGGGCAAGTGGTTACTAATTATTATTCAGCCTCCGCTCGTATCACAAGCCTACTCAGTGACATCGAATTGCATGTCGCTCTACTTCCTCAAACTCAATCTTTCCAAAACTGAGCTCCTAGTATTCCCCCCAGCCCGCACCCCCCCCCCCCCCCCTCTATCATGACCAACAACACTATCATCAGTCCCACCTCTCAAGCCAGGGTACTAGGTGTCATCCTGGACTCCAATCTGTCCTTTCAGCCCCAGGTCCAATCACTGATAAACTCATGTAGACTTCACCTCCGCAACATCTCCTATATACGACTGTTCCTAACCCCAGAAACCACTAAGCAACTCATTCACTCCCTTATTATATCACGCCTTGACTACTGTAACTCCCTCCTCATTGGCCTACCTCACCGCAAGCTATCCCCACTTCAGTCTATCATGAATGCTGCTGCCAGACTCATCCACCTTACTAACCGTTTCATATCTGCCACCCCCCTCTGCTAAATCCTCCACTGGCTTCCAATTGCCCAACGGATAAAATTCAAAACGTTAACTCTGACGTATAAAGCCATTTATAACTCTGCCCCAAACTACATCACCGATATTTTCTCCAAATATCACCCTAACCGTACTCACCGCTCCTCACAAGACCTCCTACTCTCTAGCTCCCTTGTCTCCTCCTCCCATGCTCGTCTCCAGGACTTCTCCAGGGCTTCCCCCATCCTCTGGAACTCCCTACCCCAATCCATCAGACTATCGCCTACTCTGCTCACTTTTAGGCGCACTCTGAAAACCTCTCTTCAGGGAAGCCTACCCCGCCCTCAGCTAATACTGGAGTCCTCTACTCTTCCAACCACTCCATCCCCCACAGTTATTACCTCTTATACCACTATCTCCTCCCTCCTAGATTGTAAGCTCCAAGGAGCAGGGCCCTCGAATCCCTCTTGTATTGAATTGTATTGTTACTGTTCTGTCTCGTGTACATTCTTCCACCATAATCTAAAGCGCTGATCAAACTGTCGGCGCTATATAAATCCTGTATAATAATAATTTGTTTAATCACTTGCCTACAGGGCACTTTTAGCCTCTTCCTGCCCAAGCCAATTTTCAGCTTTCAGTGCTGTCTCACATTTTTATCTTTTTTTTCACACAAATAGAGCTTTCTTTTGGTGGTATTTACTCACCACTGGGTGTTTTATTTTTTGAAAAACAAAAAGGTTTTCTTTGTTTCTATTATCAAATTTTGCAAACAGGTAATTTTTCTCCTTCAATGATGTGCGTTGATGAGGCTGCACTGATAGACAGCACTAATGGGCACTGATAGACACCACTGATAGGTGGCACTGATAGGCACTGACAGGCGGCACTGATGAGGTGGCACAGATAGGCAGCACTGATGGATGGATAGGCAGCACAGATAGGCAGCACTGATGGGTGGAGTGCAGTGTACATCATAACCGCGTCGCCGGAAATGACACAACGACATTTCAGAGCATGCGCACTGACCAGAGAGGCGTGCTCTTTTATCAAGCTCTTGATAAAGAAGTACGCCCTCTGGTCAGTGCGCATGCACGGTCCGCACTCAGTGGCGCCTTCTTTCATGGGTGAGAATACCCATGCGATGTGATTCAGGTGCGGGTAAAAAAAAGGGCCTGCACCTTTTTGGTGCGGATGCGATGCACTTTGAGCCATACAAAATGTATGGCTCAAATCGCACTGCACAGACATTGCAATGTAATGTGCTATTCCTGTGTGTATTACATGCAGTGTCCCTCACCACATTAGTGTGAACCCAGTCTAAAAACTGGTTTTGATATTTAGAATTTAATTTGAATTGCTCTTTTGAAACTGTTTTTTTTTTTTAAGTCATGTGACCGGCACAGCACTAATCAGGGCTGGCCAAACATCGGATCACAGCATACATCAGTAGAGTAAGAAGTCCCTCACTAGGATCTTTCCTTGCAGATGCCAAAGCACAGGGAAAAATCATTTGACCATACAACAGTGCTGCAGGAATAAGGGATTTAATGGATTAAAAAAAAAATACAGCGGCATGATATGTATATTTTTATGAATTAGGGCAATGGACACTGCTGTGTTTAGTATCACTTTAAGTGTGTTTCAGAAAACAACAACAGAAAATGTGCATTTTAACATATGTGCATAAAATGGAAAAAAAAGACACTGGCAGTGAACTATATGCATGTATACCATTTATGCTGGTAATTTTTTTTTTTGTTTCATTTAATGGGATTAAGTATTTATGCAGCAAGACTTAACCCACTGAGGCAAAGTCCTTGTGGCTTGGATACCTAAATGAACTCCTGACTCGATAGAAAACTAATTAGAACAGTGTCTGAAGGTCCTAGAGCTAGCTCAGCTGTACCCTATGTACTTGCATCTCATTTTTACCTCGGTTAATTCAGGACATTGAAGAGGGTTTTTTTTTTTTAATTTGGCTGTGTCAATCCCAAAGTTACCCTGACCCTACTTAAAGCTGCAAACCAACATACTTAAACTACATTATTAAATTATTTTAAGAGGATTTGCTGGGTTGAGTATTAATGCAGATTTGGTGTATCAGCTTTTTCATGTTAAGTTGTTTTGTCCTCTAAGGGATAAAAACACAATTATCTGGATATGGATTATGTCCTTGATACTAAAGAAAAGCCGCAGTTTCTTTTTCACCTTTCATGCTAATTTGATAATACTTTCTGATAAAGCAGAACTAAAGGCAAACCATTTTCTTCATTTTGCACAGATTAGGAGATGGTTGTAAATGTTTTGTAAATTTTTTCCATTGGGGAGATTTCCCTTCACTTCCTGTCCCATAGCCAAAGTAGGGAGTGAGAGTCCCTGGTTGTCCAGAGTGAGGGAATCCCTGGATTGTTACCATAACTAGTGTCCCTACTGGAAGATCTTACTCTGCAGGGGACAAAATTTGTGATTTTCTTTTACTTTCACTTTTAGTGATATTGGTAAACATCAAGGGGAATCTCCTTAACAGGGGAACAAACAGTGATAGAATCCCAACAGGGGATCTAATCCCTTTCCATGCTGTCCAAAACTAATACAAACATTCTTTCCCTTCGTTATATTTTAGTTCTGGTTCACACTAATGCAGTGCGAATTTGATGTGGTTTCACAGTGCAGTACCACAGTGCAATTTCTGCTGTGACAGGTGCAAATTGAATGTGATTTGTGAGGGGACTGGGCATACATTGCCTTGAAAAGGTATTCATACCCCTTGAAATTTTCCACATTTTGTCATGTTACAAATTAAAATGTAAAATGTATTTTATTGGGATTTTATGTAATAGATATTACATAAAAAATAGATGTAATAGGTAACAGATAAATGTGATAAATGGTTTTCAAAATTTTTTACAAATAAATATCTAAAAGTGTGGTGTGCATTTGTATTCAACCCCCACACCCCCCCCCAGAGTCAATACTTTGTAGAGCCACCTTTCACTGCAATTACAGTTGGAAGTCTTTTTGGGCAAAATAGGTCTGTCAGATTGGATGGAGAACCTGTGAGCTTTGCACATCTAGAGAGTGAAATGTTTGCCCGTTCTTCTTTGCAAAATAGCTGAATCTCTGTCAGATTGGATGGAGAACGTCTGTGAACAGCAATTTTCAAGTCTTGCCACAGATTCTCAATTGGATTTAGGTCTGGACTTTGACTGGGCCATTCTAAAGCATGAATATGCTTTGATATAAACCATTCCATTGTAGCTCTGGCTGTATGTTTAGGGTCGTTGTCCTGCTGGAAGGTGAACCTCCGCCCCAGTCTCAAGTCTTTTGGCTCCATCCATCTTCCCATCAACTCTAACCAGCTTCCCTGTCCCTGCTGAAGAAAAGCTTCCCCACAACATGATGCTGCCACCACCATGTTTCATGGTGGGGATGGTGTTTTCAGGGTGATGTGCAGTGTTAGTTTTCCACGACACATAGCATTTTACTTTTAGGCCAAAAAGTTCAATGTTGGTCTCATCTGACCAGAGCACCTTTTTTCCACCACATGGCTTCTCGCAAACTGCAAACAGGGCTTTCTTTCAACAATGGCTTTCTTCTTGCCACTCTTCCATAAGGCTAGATTTGTGGAGTGCACAATAAATAGTTGTCCTGTGGATTTGCCCACCTGAGCTGTGGATCCTAACCCTGCTTTAAACTTCTCCACAACTTTTTCCCTGACTTATCTGGTGTGTTCCTTGGCCTTCATGATGCTGTTTGTTCACTAATGTTCTCTAACAAACCTCACAGGGCTTCACAGAACAGCTGTATTTATACTGAGATTAAATTACACACAGGTGGACTCTATTTACTAATTAGATGCTGTCTGAAGGCAATTGGTTCCACTAGACTTTAGTTAGCGGTATCAGAGTAAAGGGGGCTGAATACAAATGCATACTACACTTTTCAGATATATATTTGTAAGAAATTTTGAAAACCATTTATCATTTTCCTTCCACTTCAGAATTATGTGCCACTTTGTGTTGGTCTATCACATAAAATCCCAATAAAATACATTTACGCTTTTGGTTGTAACATGACAAAATGTGGAAAATTTCAAGGGGTATGAATACTTTTCCAATGCACTGTAGCAGGAGATGAAATTTGCACCACACCCTCTCTAAACGTACACAGGACCCTTTTTTGGACTGTATCAAATTTGCACCGCATATATGTGAACAGCCTGCATCGGAAATAATGCTTTTTTAGATTACATGCAAATCTATGCTTTGGATCTCATCTGATTCGCATAGAACTCGTATTAGTGTGAACCGGAGGTAAAGGTATATTTTAGGCAGGTTGTTTGGAAGACTTCCTGAGGCTACCATGTTTTTCGTCATGGATACCTCCCTATGGATTCCATGTTAATCAAAGTTTCAGATTGGCACCACAGGCAGCAGAGGGAATGTTTTGTATAATTCTTTGGTAAATGGATTTAATTTTCTTCAGTTTGGATGACACAGAAATGCAGAGAAGGGTTTGCCATGTTGTTGTAAAATTTATTTGGCAGATCATTATTTTTTGTTTATTAAAGCTGCTTTCACACTGCTACTTTGCAAAAACACGGGAAAAACACATATGCACTTTGCCATGTTTCAGGTGCATTTTCTGGTTGTCTGACATAAGCAAAGACTTGGTGAAACATGGTCACGTGACTCAGAAAATGTACCAGTAACGCAATCGCTGCGGCGTTTACAAAGCATTTCCATGGGGAGGTGCAGTTTTCGTTTGGTTTTAAACATGCATCAAACACGCACCAAAAATGCAGCGTGCAGGACTTTTAAAAATGCAACTGAAATACAACTGACCGGTGTGAAAAGTGTCATAGGATTTAAAGGGATGCATTTTTCTTCCACTTTTTAACTGAAAAACTCATGAAAAATTGAGCAATGTGAAAGGGCCCCAAATCTGTTTTATTGTTTTTTTTTTGCAAAAATATTTACATGCTCCAACTGGAGGGGAAAACACTTGTACATAGAGCAACATTAAGAACTGGACAGTTGGCTCATGCAACAGTCCACAACGCTCCAACACAAGCTCTAAAATGTCTCCTCGATGCTAAGACAACTAAGACAGTGAATATAACAGAACACAGGGGCTTGGGTCCGACACTTGCAAATCATTATTTTTAATTTCCAACTAAATTTTTTATTTCATTCAAAGGATTTTGAATGAAGTATACAAGGAAGAGAAGGAAGCATAAGGACTAATTTATTAAAACCACAAAAATTGGCAACTCACATTGTTAAAAGTCAAAAGGCTCATCAATAAAGAAGACCACTGTTTTGTGTGTGATGTTTCTGTCCCTCTGGCTGGTTCTGTATATCTGAATAGATGGTGGAAAGATGGCGCCTCAAACATCTGACATCCAGGAACCACGTTGGAACTCATGCTAGCTAGAGGTGATGTCATGTCAGTGCGATATAATTGGCTACACGTTTCGGAGGACTTTCTCCGACACGCATACTTGCTTGATAAAGGAGTGTGGATGCTCCGAAATGCGTAGCCATCTCTACCTAGCGTGCATTCCAACGTGGTTCCTGGACGTTGGATGTTTCTGCCATCTATCCAGATATACAGAGCCAGCCAGCGCACAGAGGGACGAAGACCTCACAGATAGAACAGCGGTCTTCTTTATTGATGAGCCTGTTGACTTTAAAGAATGTGAGTTGCAGCAGTCCTTATGCTACACTTAGTAGGTGCTTCCCTCTCTATCTTGTTTAATTACAGAGACTGCTTCTGCTCTGGGGACAGCTGTTACGAGTGTTATGGACTATTGTCAGTAACTTTTATGGACTCAGTTATAATATAATATATGTTCATGGGGTCAGCCAGATTGGATTGTGTGCCTATTGTTTCCTTTTTTCACATAGGGAAGCATAAATGTGGCTGTGCTCACAGTCAACTTGAATGGATTACACTGGGCTTCATCTAACCTGGAAATGGGTAAGAGGTTAGATGACATAGGGATCTCTGCCATGAACAGCATAGAAAGGAGGGTAAGTTTAGCAGTAAACCCTGCTTTTCAATTACTGGCAAAGCTAAAGGAATAAAAAAGGAAGTAAAATATCTAA